GCCTGTTCAACGTCGTGACAGGCACTTTGTTTGTAATTGAGACCCACCCTCCCAGGGCCGAGTGAATTATTCTCGCTTCCACCCCCATTGAGATGCATATATATATAATATGTATGGCAGAGGGGTAGTACACTACAGATCTCGGGCCATAGGCATGGACACGCAGCATATACAATTTGTGTTTCAATGTTTTTCATACATAATCCAAAAGAAGCCAAACAGAAACCGACGAAGCCCTTGATCAATTTACACAGCGCAAGAGGCGTCTTTGTGGACAGCGCTGTGGATGCTGCTCAGAATCTGAAGACTGAGGCTGAAACCATACAGCCGCTGTGCTCAAGCATTATGATACAGTCGACGGACTATGTAGTTTTTGTCGATAGCTTTGTGAAAGTACAACAGCAATTGAACAAGCACAACTTCAAAACAATAATTGTGCCGGCAGCGCATTTGGCCGTTGCTCAGGAACTACCGTGAAGACTTGGCCAATGAAATTGAAGATTTTAAGTGTCTTGGCGGGAAAAAGATCCAAAGAGTCCAGATGTTGAGCGTCCTCCCGCATTCACCTCAATCAATCACGTGTTGCTTGCTGCTTCAAGAATAGCTTCATTTGGTGCACAGCTTTTAGCCAGCAAAACGGTCATCCTGATCCTTATTTGTCGAGGAAGGTGCTGAAGACGACGGATATCGACCAAGATGGCAAAGTGTCATACAAAGAGTTTCTTGGATTTTGACCTTGCGCCCTTGCCCTTTATCATACCTTGACAGTCAGAGAAGGCACGCAAGCTGCCAGGTTGGCGGAGACTTTGAAGCATGCAGAGAGCGTTGTAACTTGCTTCATCTTGGCATTGGGGTTGTGGCAGTTGGCAGTTGAATGTTTGGGCATAGTGTGATCAAGATGCGAAAGCAGTGTGTACTGTACGCATTGGCTTCTGACGAGTCGAATGTTTCCGGAGGTATTGTGTCATGTTCATTTAGGTTACATTTCAATATGCAAGTCAAGTGTAAAACGCAGCCAAAACAGGTAAAGTTACCTGCCTACCAACAGTCTTCTTGTTTGACAAACGCAAGTCAACATTGGCTTTCAAATTGCCGAATGTAGAAATGATTCAAGTGGACTGCAGTTTTGAATGCTCATGCAATTTCATTGCTGTTGTTTTTCCCGAAAGCATTGCGAAGGGTTCTTCCGGAAAATCCCTTGAACACTGACACTTCGATACTTACACTTACACACTGACACTTCCACCACACTTGCACTACAACATGAACGCTATACGTACCCTAGTGTAAGTGGAAGAGCGAAAGCATCCAAGTGCAAAGTATGCAAGTGTCAAAGTATGCAAGTGTAAGTATGCAAGTGTAATGATGCAAGTGCAATGATGAGTATGCAAGCATGCAATGAGTATGCAAGCATGCAATGAGTAGGCAAGTGTGAGCATGGAAAACTAGCACGGGAGATGTCCTAATGAAAAAACATTTCCCCCCTTTATAAATTCTCTCTCTTAAAGGCGGAGGGTGGGACGAACAGCGTCAACCGAAAGTGTAACCCTCTGCGGAGATCCTGCGTGTCGAGTGCACAAAATGCAGGCGAGAGTGCGATTGGTGCGGTGCGCGCGCAACCCTCTGCGGAGATCGTGCGTGTCGAGTGCGCGAAATGCAGGCGAGAGTGCGATTTGCCGGCTGCCCGCGCAACCCTTTGCGGAGATCGTGCGTGTCGAGTGCGCGAAATGCAGGCGAGAGTGCGATTCGTCCGGTGCGCGCGCAACCCTCTGCGGAGATGCGTGTCGAGTGCGCGAAATGCAGGCGAGAGTGCGATTTGTCCGGTGCGCGCGCAACCCTCTGCAGAGATCGTGCGTGTCGAGCGCGCGAAATGCAAGCGAGAGTGCGATTTGCCGGCTGTGCGCGCGACCCTCTGCGGAGATCGTGCGTGTCGAGTGCGCGAAATGCAGGCGAGAGCGCGAATCGCCCGGTGTGCGCGCAACCCTCTGCGGAGATCGTGCGTGTCGAGTGCGCGAAATGCAGGCGAGAGTGCGATTTGTCCGGTGCGCGCGCAACCCTTTGCGGAGATCGTGCGCGTCGAGTGTGCGAAATGCAGGTGAGAGTGCGATTGAGTCTGTATGCGCGCAACCCTCTGCGGAGATCGGGCGTGTCGGGCGCGAAATGCAGGCGACATTGTAATACAACTTTAGTGCGCGGAGTATGTGGCGGGTTGGAAGATGAGAACTGGTGACTTTGTAGTAGAACTGTAGTACGCGGAGTTGCTGGGGAGCTGGAAGCTGAGAACTGGCGACTTTGTAGTACAATTGTGCAATCTGTGGAGCTGGAAGCTGAGAACTGGCGACTTTCTAGTACAACTTTAGTACGTGGAGTAGCTGGGGAGCTGGAAGCTGAGAACTGGCGAGTTTCTAGTACAACTTGAGTACATGGAGTAGCCGGGGAGCTGGAAGATGAGAACTGGCGACTTGGCAGTACAACGTTAGTACGCGGAGTAGTTGGGGAGTGGGAAGATGAGAACTGGCGACTTTGTAGCACAACTTGAGTACGCGGAGTATACGCGAAGGTTTGGTTGTGCCTACATCCGCGCGAGGACCATCGCGGAGTACCACGCGAGGAGCGCCAGCGATCTTTTCCCAAGAGGGCGGCGTTTGCGCTGGTCACTGCGGCTGAAAACTTACCTGGACGAGACCTCGGAGCCCAACCATGCGAACTTTGCGGGCAGTGGACGCATTCCTGGTGCGAGGCTTCTTCGCTGCGGCCGTTCAACGCCGTTTGCACCCTGTGCGACGCCGATCACCTTATCTGTCGACCATGCCAGCGTCTTGGGCGGTCATGGGAAGCGGCCCGCGCCGCAAATACCACACCGCCCGATTGCATCGAACTCAGCGGCTACCACGACCAGACTGGCAGGTTTGTTCAAGTGGACCCACCGCTCCGCATCCCGCTGGCGGACGTGTCACCAGATGGCGCCCTCGACGCCGCCCAGTTGGCCCAGATGGTCGCCGCCGTGTCTCCGGAGCGGACAACGCAGTGAGAGTCTCCCCAACGCAGGGTGTCACCTAGATGTTCACATGGTAACCAACTACATGTCTCATACCATGAATTCTTCCTGTGTGGACGTCGTTTTGCGGAAGCACAACAAGTACTAGACATAGTGTCGGGGAGTCTCTTCCATATACAAGGGCTAGTCGCGAGCTGAACGGCCAGAGCACACTAAAACATGCGCAGTGCCTGCTGTGTGTCACCTCGTGCTACTTTGTTGCATGTTTCTGTAGGAGAGGCGATTAGAAAATGAGCAGCATAGTGGTTCTTAACTACATCTAGAGCGAAGCACATGTCACCCTCAGAGCGCCTGCGCCAACAGACCTTTCGGTGCTCACAGTGACATTGCAGAAGTCTCCATACAACTTGGGCCAACTACCAAAATATCAACTCAACAGCAGTGACGCATATACTTGCAAGAAGTTTCACGCACCCCACAAGCTTTTGCAATATTCATATCCCACATGAACCTTTACAACGCAAACAGAGCCTTCTTATGGCTATGCATGCGCTATTTACTACTTTGCAGCCCACTAGCTCGTAGGTCTGCCTCTTTGCCCAGCCATCATGCCAGGCCGCCGGTGGGGGTTTGGGAGGCCTGCGCGCTACTTCGTTCATCTCCTCTGACAGGTCACTGCTTCGAGACACTTCTGGCGTGGCTCAATTCAAGAGATAGGACCGACTTGTCACTGTGGCCCAACGCTGCCAACAATTCCCAAGGTGAGAAGTAACGCGCAACTGACAAGTCCTGCACCAAATTGATCTTTAGACCACGCTCACGCAGCAATTCGATGGGGATCTCATGCTGTCGAGAGTAGGCGGCCATGACACCCACCATAGGTTGGTTGAAGGTGCGCACCCTTGATTGAAAGGCATCAGTGGGAGACATTGAACTCTTCCTCATCTGAACAGTTGGCAACAACTCAACTTTGGACAGCATCCCTTCTGTCAGGTGGTCTTCGGGAGGCCTCCCTATGTTAGTACACCCACAAGCAGAAAAATAGGATAACTGTAGGACTGAGGGAACACGGAATGATGCTCCAGCAAGGTACTTTTGCCTGCTGTGACTGTGCACGAAGTGGTGAACGGGACAAATGAGTTCGCTTAGCAGACTCTGTGGTGAAGAAGTGACCTCTCACGGACAGAGCGTGAAACACAAAATGACCACAGGCATTTGAGGCACAAGGCGCCGTGCAATATTAGCACTCCATGCAGTATACATGAGACCCTTGCTGCCATTGCTCTTGTCAAGTAAAACTAGACGACGAGTGGCCCGAAAGCATTTTTCATCACGTAGGAAGTCAGAGTGTGAGTTATCTGTTAAGTGTTAAGTGTGAAGTGTTTAAGTCGAGTGAGTTGAGGTAGTGTGAGGGTCTCTGTGCGTGTGTGTATATGAGTCTGTGTATGTGTGTGTTCGTGTAAGTTGAGGCAGTGCGTGGGTGTCTGTGTGTGATGCGGCCTCCCAAACCCCCCACCGGCGGCCATCGTCATGAGCATTTGAGCTGCTGGTAAGGGGAGAAGCAGCGTGCACGGCTGCAGGAAATCTCACTGAAAAAAGCGAGCTGGAATGAACACAGAAAATGCTGAGGCAGGTACGCAACAAGTGTCTCGAAGCAGTGACCTGTCAGAGGAGATGAACGAAGTAGCGCGCAGGCCTCCCAAACCCCCACCGGCGGCCAAGCGGTGACAGCCCAGCTCATCGTCATGAGCATGTGAGCTGCTGGTAAGGGGAGAAGCAGCGTGCACGGCTGTAGGGAATCTCACTGAAAAAAGCCAGCTGGAATGAACACAGAAAATGCTGAGGCAGCTGATGCATTCCGGCTTACTGGTAATGCCATTGCAGTTGGACATTCCATGTTGTGCATTGCTCAGACAGTATGCCTATTGGATGGTGCTTGGCCTTTTGGCTTTGTTCCTTCGTTGAGCCAGCTCTATGATATTGCCGTGGGGCATGCAATGAAACTCTCATCTTTTCGAGTTGAGAGAGACCATGAATGCCAGTGGTTGGTGCCTGTCACAGGTGGGGACGAGGTCCCATCGCCATCCCCAAAGCGTTTGCGCACGGAGCAGACATTGGAAATCTCACTATATGAAGTTGATGATGCGCAGAAGATCGTTGGTCTTGAGGTCAATGGCGGTTTCTTATGTCCATACTCCATTTGGACGAACCTGAAGTTCCCATTTCTGATTGTGAAGGAGGCATAGTGGTCTTGAAACACTGCAGCAAGGCCTGGGTATGCTGCGTCCACAGGGCAAAGAGTGACCAGGTGGGCACCTACGCGCAAACTGCTTTGCCATTATCCTGCCACAGTGACTTTGTGAGCTTCGAGCACAATGGAGCTGAAGTGACTTGGGAACAGGTGATCGAGGCTGTACCAGTGGCGACCATTACGTTCAAGCCTACACCGCAGCTCACCTGAGAAAGTGTGGAACATTGAGGTTGACGTGACCTGGAAAGTGACATCGTTGGCCGCATTCATCGCAGCCGTTTCGAGTGTCCCATGTGAGTCAGTCTTGATTCATGCGAAGAATACATTTCCGCCGTCTGATTCCTTCCTTTGTGATGTTTTGTGACGCAGTGCCCTGTTCAGGTGTTGCCGATTTCAAGAAGTGGGGACCGTGACGTTGGCATACGCACTGCTGACAACAGTCATGTTCGTTTGGCAGCCCGACATCCAAATCATAAACTGATCTGCGCGGTCAGTATTCGTCAGAGTGAATGCTGCGTGAATGTGATTCCAGTCCTTTTTCCGGAAATGTGCCAGGCACATGTTTGGACGTGTGGTGATGACAAAGGGGGCGACGCTGCCTTGAGAACCCTGGATGACCTGTTGTCGCAGCATGTCGATGTGATCATGGTTGCTTGGGACACCAAAGCGCCGTATCGTTGCACCAAGGTCAAGATCATGGATTCAAAGCATGAAGCCGGCTCCAGTTTGTTCCTTGAGACTTGAGGCATACTCTGGTTGTCATACCACTCAGCGATGGGTTCGAAGTCCTTGGAAGATTCAGGCCGAGTTGCTGACTATTCCAGCCGGCATTGACTTAGGTGAAGTTGGAGCCTCATTTGTCGCAGCTTCACAGATGAATACTAGTTTGACTGTGCATTGTGGGAGCACTCTTTTTGATCCGGCCATCAAGACACATGAAGTTGGTTTGGCTGACACTCTTTCCTTTCGTCTGGCGCCTTTGAAGGGCGGGATGCCGGGAGCTGATCATAGCCCCTATCGGGGCGAGGTGTGGGCAATTTTGTTGGCATTGCAGCGTGTTTGGGCTCCCAGGTTTTTCACTGATTGCTCAGCTGTGGTTTCGTTGCTCCAGCAAATGTTGATGGATCGGCAATTAGGTCTGACTTCTCAGGCCTGTAAGCATTGGGATCTTTGGGAGCTTTGGACTCATATTCTTCGTCGTCCTGTGGGGGCGGTGACGATTACTAAGGTCTCTTCCCACACTCAATGGTGGCTTGCACCATCAGAGTTTGATTCGTGGTGTGGACGATGGAATGACACCGTTGACAAGACTGCAAAGAGGGTACTGACTGGTACACGCAGAGATTTGCTTGATAAACTGACCAGCTTATTTCACGATGCGGAACGCAATGCTGCGTTGTTGTTTGAATTCCACCAGTATTGGACCGCTGCTTCCTGTGGGGCCATGTCACAAAAGGACGATGGACAACAATCTGCAGGCTCCGTTCCTGATATTGAGGGGATGTACATGCAGCAAGGAGGCGTTTGTCCTCTCGCCAGGGTACAGTGGTGTGCCGACGTTGACGCACCATTTGGCGCAACTTTCTCTGAACGATTTTTCCGATTGTTTCAGCGAGTTTCTTTGAACCCCGGTGGTGGTGCTGAGGAAAGCTCTAGTCTGTTGGAACTTTACATTTCATTTGCTCTTGATACTCGCACTATGGCTCCGGTCTACTTTCCCTCACTTAAGAAGAAAACTGCTAGCCGTCCTTAATACTCAGTTGAGAACTTTCGTACAGATTTTTAAGTGGCTCAATTGTCACTGGCACGTTTCCAACCTTGATTCTTGATTGCGGCCGGAGGAGGCTTCGCCCACTCGGGTACCTCTCGGCTAGTACCTACGTGTGTGGCCAAATTCGTTCTACCAAACGGTCCTTGTGCTGGCAAGGCACTGTGGGACTATTTCCATCGCAGTCGTAAAGCTACATACAATTTGAAGGCGCCGTGGCCGCGGTTGCAACAGGTGGCTCCGCTACCTGACGCGCGCGAGGTTTTTACCTTGCTGTTTGCGCTTTGCATGCGCTGAGGATTTTTCCAATTAGACAATCACGTCTGCCTTACGCATAGCCGAGGGTAGCCATTGCACACGACGCGTGTTTTAAACGACAAAAGCAAAAAGCCCAGTGGTTGGGGGTCTCCGTTCTTTAAGGCCCATACTGCATCTCTTTCAATCTTCGATGTTCAATTTTGCCAGGCTGTTTCCTCCAAGTTTGGGGTCGACAGACATGCAGTAACCCACTAGAGCAGCGGACTGATGGAAACGAGCTCTCGTGCCATGTTTATCTTATCCATCGCCTAGCCGGTCAGTACTGCGTGCTGGCTGGATCCTTCAGACGTTTGCAAGGTTTGCCTGCATTCACATTCGGCCGCAAAATGGCGTGTGAGTGATGCAAGTGTTCGAGGTTTTGACACAGTCCACCGGTGGTTGAGTTTCATAGAATATATACGTATAATAATGTATCATATTTATATATATATATATGCACAAAGTGCTTGGTGTGTCTGGTGGCAATCAGGCCTTCACGCTCTAATCAAATCTGCTGGCACGCTGCTTTCAATCGCCATTTCGCTTTGATACACTTGACGTTTACAGCATTTCTGCAACACCCTTGAGTTGGATACATCACGGCTGTATCGTGAAACTTTCGAGCATTTACTTGGATAACTCCTGGAGTCTGGGAAAGGTAGAATCTTGCCCCCCAAGAGGAGATGCGCATGCACAATCAAGATTAATCAAGAGTATCATGCATGCGTGTATATATAAATATATACACGCAGGGTTATAGAGAGAGAAGGAGAGAGGGAGAGTCGTATGTCATCTGGTTTGTCACATTGCTTCGCCCTTGAAGTGTTTGCCAACCAATTTCTTTTTGCTCTGATATTCCAAGTTTTTGCACTGGCCCTTCCAGAATTCCAGCAGAATAGTGTCCTTGCTTGTAATGCTTATATTTGACCGCGGTGCTTGTTCGCATGACCAGTCCTTCTGAAAGGTCTGCGCATTGCGCTATTCTTCGCAGGTAGAGCCCGTTCTATGTACGTTGATTAAAGGTTCCTACAGATCGCAGTATCCAAGTAAGTGCAAGACCAAATGGACATATGTGGGCCTGAAAGCTGAGCTGATGTTGCAATGACAGATGGAGTTGGTTTTGACTTTTGTTTGACATTTCTGTCCCCGCCACCATTTAACCAGAACCCAAAGGAATTGAATCCAATTTGCTGCTTTGGCTGACCATGCGGCATGCATTTCTTCCTTCACACCCGCACCTTTTTGGACCAGAAGGCGACACTTCCTACATCACTTTGCTCCTCATGCGAACCTATTTATTTGCTTATCAAGGCATTTTGGAGCTCTTTGCACCTGAACCCGCAGGAGGCAGATGGGAATCATTTATGAGTCATGAGTGTATTGGACTTCTTTGGCAATACCAAGCCCAAGGTAGCCACTTCAACATTGACTTGCGCATGAATTGCAGCATACAATTCTTGTGAAAGGCTGTGCTTATTCTGAAGATGTTGGATCGTTTGGATGGCCACAAGAACGATCGTGTGGACTTTGCTAACTTTGTGAGCTGTGCAAGGAGATGCGGAGTCGCAAGACATTTGCACAGTTGTTTTATTAGCCGGTGTATGATCGTGTTCTTGCCCTGTGCGCACACTTCCAATTCTTCCAGGAAGTTGAAAGGCTATGCCACGAAGGTGGAGATGATGACCCTGATGTACGATCATTCCAGGCTTGCAGTGGCTTGCAGCTGCAAAAACTGCATCCTAGCAACTACCAGCATATATATATATGTGATATGCTATTTACCTTAATATATTGATGCAGACGGTAAGACAGGATGTGACACGATGCGGCATGATACGATGTCATGTTGGTTTCAAACGGCAATTCCATGTTTGGTTCGCAAAGGATTTGCGCTGATGATCCTCGCTCGGTTCACAGTTTGTTTGGGTAGTCCGGGACATTCTTCCTTTGACAAGAAACCGTTGGTTGGTTCGGTCTGGTGTTTTTTGTCCTAGTTCAATAGTTCTGATGGCACGTTTTGTAAAAGTGGATTTTTGTTTTTCTGAAACTCTTTGTTGACCCGAACAACTTTCCATGGCAACATGGGGTTTGCTTTTTCACCTTTGCAGGTTGCATTCCGGCTTGCGGGGTAGGAGTCCAGTTCCCAGACTTTTGAATTTACCCTTCCACTAGTTCATCCTACCTCTCCCCGGGCCGACCTCCGTGCAGCTCCCTCCCGCCTTCACTTCTGTCTTCCACAGGCTGTTGGACACAGTCCAGTCAGAGTTTCAAGAACTGAAAGCGCTCATTGCTCGCTGACACACCCAGCCCACGAGTGAAAAAGGTGCGAAACGTGATTCAACCGTTCGGAGGTAACTAGCGCATATGCAGCCGGAGTTGAAATTTGAAATCTACAATCAAACAATTGAAAATGTTTGTGTATGTGTATATGGCTAACAAAAGCTAAAATTATAGGTTATAATACGTTCTATTTATTGTATGTTGTTTGAATTATAGTGATATCTTAATAAGCATATTGATGAATGGTTGATGATTATTTTTGTTCGTTGTATCGTGGCAATAGTACAATTTTAATAGAATTAATAGGATTTGAGTTAGATTATCGAAATGTTAAAAACACGATTTAATGATTATAATAGAATGTGCTTAGAATTAAAATTCTTACGGATCTTCGAAAACCATTCGTTGAGAAAGGTAGATGTGCGAAATAAGATTTTTGGAATTAGGATTTGAAAACATGTATTTTGTTTTGAAGAATAGATTTGGGAAGGAAATTTGAAGAAAGAAGGATTAGAAATTGAAAAGAATTGAGAAAATAGAATTTGCAAGATGTACTAAAGAAGATTTTGAAAAAGAACCTTTGAAAGAGTTGGAATTAAAATTAGATTTATAATATATGTTGGGTAGAAATGGTTTTGATAGGAAAAGTTTTGTAATGTAGAGGTGATATGTTTATTGTTATTAATTTTTTCTATTGGAAAAGGGTAAAATGATGTTTTTAAGATTTGAAGATTTTTTGTTATTATTAATTTGCTTGAAATTCTTACGTTTGTTATTTAGTCTCTAAATATTTTTTAAAATTTAGCATTATAATCTTCTCTGTGTTATGTTTTTATCCCAAATATATTGAATATCTCTACATGTTAATTATCTTAATCTCTAATTTCTTGAAATGAATTTTCTTCGTAAAAATTTTTGAATGTATCGTTATGCTAATTTCTTTAATTGTTGGTTCTATTTTTCTGTATCTTGAAAATTTTTCAATTGATAAATTCCTTTCTTCCCATGGCTCATTGAAACAGATGTCTTTCAATTATTTTTGCATTATAATCCTCTTTGTGTTAATATTATTGAAATATACTTTCATGCAAAATGTTGTTGAGCTGCTTGCATGCCAAACAAGTTCCTTTAAGCCTTCAAGTCCGTGTCGCGCTACGCTACGTTTAATTGAAATTAATTTACATTTTACGATCATCGAACAAATGCACAAGTAGTTCGATTCTCCCTGTTGCAAAGCCTGTTGAACAGCTCTGCATCACGATCCTCATCATCATAGGGTTTAGGGTTTCGCCAACCAAGACACAATCAAGACACGCAAAGCTAACCATATATGTGGAGACAAGGTAAAAGTAAATCAGGTCAACAAGCAACAAGCAATGCCACAGCACCTCAACAAAAACGAACTCTATCCACACCATCGTTGCGTTGCGCTTGTGTTGGTTGATATAGTGCAATTCGTTCTGCCGCTATTGATTGATTTGGTCGATCCAGTCTTAACCCAAGATTATGTCATTCTTACGTTCTATCCTTGCAAATTCCATTGCCCTTTTCCCCCATTTCATTTTCCAACTCGATCGGCCCGTCCTTTGTTCAAAACTTCCCGGCTTATCTTCTCAATCAACCGTTTTAGATTAAGGAACTAAAGATATAAAAATATAGAGTCCTGTATCTATTTATTGATGCATTAAATAATTGAAATTATAGACCATGTAGATGTAATATTATTGATAATTTTAATACGTTTTAGTGAATTATATAAACATACGAATCCATATTCGATGATCAATGATTGATGTTTTGCTTTTGTTCCTTGTGTCGTTAGCTCATGGATGAGAGTATGGGCAAGGTTGCAAGTGGTCGGTTGGCTATTCTGCATTAACGTTTTATCCTGCTAGAGCCCCAGCACCAAAGGCACTGGTAGCCCCGTGAGCTTCGCGCACACTGGGTGTCTCAGGCGGGATGAATCGGGAAGGAACTCGCAGTTGGTCGCTGGGTAAGAAGCCGCATGATCCGTGGAGGCTTATATGGACCTCCTTCCTGGCAGCGCCTTTGTCGATGCACTTTCATGGCCTGAGCGCCCTCGCTGAAAGTGTTGCCAGCCACGCCCAGGATCGAGAGTGCCCACCATGGCCGTCCGTATTCGTCAAAGTGGTGAAGGTGATTAAGTCCCAGGTCGAGTGGGCTTGTTCTTTCTTTTCGGGGTAGCCTTTCCACCACTCTCTGTAGCCAGGCTAATATTCTCATCCATGGCGGTTGGCTTTTTGTGGCTGCGCTTTTGCTTGTGTTGTGTCTTGCTGGTTTCTGTTGTGATGTGGTGTGTTTGTTGTTGTGGTGGTGGTGGTCTTGGTGGTGGTGGTTGTGGTGGTGGTGGTGGTGGTCCTGGTCTCTTGGTCTCTTGGTCTCTTGGTCTCTTTGGTCTCTTGGTTTCTTGATCTCTTGGTCTCTTGGTCTCTTGGTCTCTTGATCTCTTGGTCTCTTGGTCTCTTGGTCTTGGTGGTCTTGGTCTTGGTGGTGGTGGTCTTGGTCTTGGTGGTGGTGGTCTTGGTCTTGATGGTGGTGGTGTTGGTCTTGGTCTTGGTCTTGATTTTGTTTGGTCGTGGTTTTGTTTGGTTTGTGTTGTGGTCTTGGTGGTGGTGGGCACGGAGGTTGATGATGTTGATGATGGGGATTGATTGTCTTATATAGATGATTTTGGAGATTTGTTTTGGATATGGATATATATATATATATTCGATTAGGATTATGTATTTTCTTCGGATTTTCAATATGTATTTGATTAGGATTTTGATGGTGCATATATTTGATTTGGGTTTTTTGATGCATATATTTGATGAGGGTTTTATCGATCTATGCATTTGATTCAGATCTTATCGGGGAATTCATTTGCTTAGGGTTTGTCGGGGTATGCATTTATATAGGATTCTATCGATATATAAATTTGATTATGGTTTTGTCGGCGCATGCATTTAATTAGGGGTTTGTCGGTGCGTTTATTTAATTAGGGTTTTGTCGGCGCGTGCATTTAATTGGGGTTTTGTCGGCATGCATTTAATTAGGATTTTGTCGGCGCGTGCATTTAATTAGGGTTTTGTCGGCGCGTACATTTAGTTAGGGTTTTGTCGGCGCGTGCATTTAGTTAGGATTTTGTCGGCGCGGGCATTTAGTTAGGGTTTTATCAATGCATGCTTAGGGTGTTAGGGGATTTAGGGTTTAGGATTTAGGGTTCGCCAACACAGGTTGTTCACCTGTGGGGGCGTTATAGGCAACCTTTCTATCGTTTCCATCCAATTATTAAAAATATTTTCTTACACCTTTATAACCCCCTAATTCACCGGTGCTCGTATCCGCCCTTAACCTGAATTTTCTTGGTAGTCTTTTTTAATAAAGGAAAAATGTTTTATAGTTTTCGATTTTCAATTAAAAATGAATTAAAATTATATAAGTTCATATAGTTTTATGGGTTTTAATTAAAAATATTTTTAAGTAAAACCATAGCATTTTTAAATATTTTTTTGTCCTAATCGAATTTTATTTTCCTAGTCGAATTATATTGTCCTAATCGAATTATATTTTCTTAATCGAATTATATTTTCCTAATCGAATTATTTTTCGCCAAAAAAAAAGAATCTTAAGGTTTTCAGATGCTCGGCTTGCTCAAAGCAGGGGCTGACAACAACAGTAAAGCAGTTGCAATCCTGCATGTGCCAGATTGGGTCAACTAGCTTCTGTTGCGAGTTGCGACAAACAAAGCTTAGTTCGCACCCAAAGGTGCTGCTTTCCGCCTGAGAGCTTTGGCCTCCAGGAAGCTCAACCTCGGGGAATGTGCATCCCGAGGGCCATCCTGGCGCAGCCGGGGCGCTCCTCTTTCCATACCAAGTGAACGCAGACCCAACCAAGACAAGAGGATTAAACCAACCATAGGAATGACGTGGAGACCGAAACCATTCATTTCCCCCAAGGAGAACAGATAACCCGTTCACCCCGAGGGGACGTGGAATACGGAACCCATTCATTTCATTCCAGGAAGGTCGACACCCAAGCCAAGGAAGAGACCATCACAAGGCACCCCTGAGGTTAGTTGGCTCCATCGTCCGGGCCTTGTCGAAGGTGTATGCAAAGTTCAAGTCGCTGGGGGTACAGATTTTCCGCCTCCATAGCGATCGTGAGAAATCATTGCGCAGCGCTGGTGTCAAACTCGAAGCCTCCTACAGACCATGACAGGAGGAGATGATGCAAAAAGCAACGGCCGCGTTGAATCTGAAGTCAACCAAATCAAGCAGCGCACCAGATTGCTTCTACATGAAAGTGGGCTACCTCACGGGTTCTGGGTATGTGCACTGAGACATGCTGCAGAACATCGTCTTCGAGCTCAACTACATCGTCTGGGCGTAGTGACCCGCCCAATGGTGAGATTCGCTGCAACGATGTCTGTCAAGACGAAACGCTGGCACCGTGCAGGTCAATTGAGTAACCCCTTTCGCAGCATGCAAATTCTGGGCCCAAGTCCCTTTATGTCCAACCGGCTGGCTGGCAAGAGACCGTCGAGGCCTTGTTCAACACGTGAGGTCAGCCTGGGTTCAAGCTGAAGGTGCTGATCATGCCCACCATGAACTACAATTAGCTGATGCAGAAGCCCTTCAACCAGTTCGACGTCGCCTTCATGGAAAACAACCACCTGCGCAGGAGGATCCTTTGGAGGGGGTGGTCGGGGCTTTGTACCAACCTGCGTTGACTGCGCTGCAGGTTGGAGGGGGGATGACCTCCTTGGCTTTTGATTCTGAGCCCTTTGATTCTGAGCCGCTGGAGTCGAACTGTTTGGACTCGCTGGATTGGGGATGGGAAGATAGCCATGCAACTGGGGAAACTACATGTTTGCCAAGACCTTCTACCGGGACGCCGCCTACTACCAGAACGATGGCGGAGGACCATGGCGGAGGTAGGGCGGAGAACCTTGGCGGAGGAAAGGCGGAGGACCAAACCCTAACCAGTGGTTGGGAGGAGCAGGAGAAACTATACGAGCAGGAGCTGTTCGAGCACTG